GAGCCGTATGCACTTGCAAGCGTCTCCATTTAGATTTATTTACAAGTCTGATGATCTCTGCACGCCTTTCTTATTGACAAAAAAAAAAAAATCTTTAAAAACACTGTTACCATTAATCTCAAAAGAACTCAAATAATTACAAAATTATAAATAATGAATAACTACGTAAATGCAATAAAAAATGATAGTATTATGTACAAGTTCTAAGAATATTGAAGTACAATGTTCTTTATCTCCTAGCGTCGCAACGCAATCAGTCCGATAATGCTGGTATCCGATGCTATCGGGCCGTGGGGTAAAAACCGTTCTCTGGAGATTGTTGGATTGCTCAATATTTATATACGAAGCAGCATCACTTCAAACAGAAGTGAATCGACGTGATTAAAAGACAGGTGGTTTTCAATGGAGCCAGAAGGGTGCAGCACCGCTGCAAGCGGTTTCTTCTGATGTACACTTTTTGCCTAACAGCAAATAAAACAGTCACATCACAAATTTGGTCTGATATAAAGAGTTTCGTGGTGTTGTTCATGCTTCAATTTTTAAATTAACTTAAAAACCTTCGTCCAGATAAACTATATTTCCCACTGGAAACTGTGTCCTTAATACTGTGTATAGTGAACTGGACGTTCCGTGAAGAGACTGGCGTACTCAGATTATTCTCAAGGACCTATAAAATACATGCTCTTTTGAGGGGAGAAAGAATAATTTTAAAGTAAGGATATGCAGTAAAATATATATATATATTATTATATATTAATTTTATGTTTAATCGTATATTATCATATAAAAGTAAACGAAGTATGATTTTATGGTACACAAACGAAGACGGCCGAGGCAAGGTCCTCCAGTAACGGTAGTGTCAAATATATCTTTCCATCTTTTATTCAAATATTTAAATGATTGATTGTCACAATATCTTACTATTAAGTTAAGTAATTATCGACAAGAAACTAAAAGCTATTCTAAAGAGGGCGCACGGTGTCCTTGGACAGAGTTCTTGTATTTAATGCCCTTGCTATTGGTGATTAAATGATTGATAATGATCATAAAAGGAGCTCAATAAAATGGTCCGTTTTCATGCAGGCCTTTCATCAGTGATATCATTAATTGATAAGATTAAAAACGCGCCTTATTGCATCCGCAACTGAGTAATCTGTGAATTTAGAAACAAATATATTTGTTTGGGAAGTATTGTTCATTCGGTTTTACGGTAAACCTTTGATGGACATAATTAAGAATTGCAATTGCGTTTCAGTAAACTATATGTATTCACAAGACACGAGACAGTCTGAGACTGATTTAATTTGACGTTTTTGAACCTGAATAACAAAGTATCTTTTGTCTTTGTTTGACATGATCTCAATCGATTCGGTATACTGCTTGCAGAAATAATCACATTCCTTTTAAAACGACACACTTTTTAGTCAACAGTCTAGGGGCTTTTAATTATCTTCAAACGCTTCATATAAATATTGCTTTGCCAGGGTGGACGAATCGCAATTTTCAATATTTCATGAAATAGACTAAAGAGAAAAACACGTATTTTTTACTCGAATTCTGCCTAATATACAACACACGTGCCTCCCAGGTAAGGACAGTTGTCCATTTTATCTTTTATCAGTCGGATATATTTTTCAACAAAATATTTAACCAGCTTGCAGGACACGCTCCGTTCCCCAAATGGAAATAACCCACCCACCCCCCACCCACCCCCAAGACTCTGAAATACATTACGGATGATTCTTATGTGCGAAACTTGTATCTGTACCTTCTAATGCAGAACTGATGAGCTGATAAAGATTTTTTAATTCTTTATCATTGCTGATAACTTTTTTGCTTCGAAGGTTGGAACTTATAATAGTAATTTGCGTTTGTTGACGTAATTATCTCATTAGTTACATGTATGAAATGAGTGTTTACATAAACCCGATGTGAACCAATAGGTACAATGTATTTCATCATCACTGACGCTGGTTTCTTAATTTTTTTCTTTTAAGATACGTTCTCCTTGAGAAAAAACCTAACGAATGAAAACAACCCACTTATGAAGCAACCGGGAAAGGATTTTTTCTGACTCAACTGACGAAATTTATGAAGCTCATGAGCTTATTTTTAAAAGTCGACTTGCTTTCCTACAACTGTAGTCATTAGCAGTCCCAGTGGAAGCTTGGAGCTAACTAAAAACGCGGCCTTAATACTAATATATTTTGAAACACAAGTCAAGGGACAAGAAAATATTTATTGGTTGCTTAAACGATTTATCTTTCTTAAATACCATTAACCAATTACATTACTGTTTCTTCTCTCCTCCTAAAGTCAAGTAGGTGATATTTTGGGAGAGGAGCCCTTAATGTAAAACTGATTGCAGTATTTTCCGTAAACGTTTGCAACCTCTAGCCACGTTGCAATTTTTTTCAATTGCAATTAAGTTATCACTATCGAGCAGGCTTCTCTTCGGGATGATATATATATTCTTTATGGCCACCAGCTGACTTGCATTGTACCACGCCTAAATTTTGAAACAAGAGAATTTGTTTTTATCTTCCACTACACCATTAATCGTACGGAACAGGATGAATGATCAAAGTTCGTTGTGTAAAATTGCAAAATTATATCTAAGCACGCATGACGTGATTAGTTATGAAGTCGTTACGTTTAAGTGGACAACGGAGCTTTAATCTCTCCGATTGAAAGACACCTTGAAAGCCACGTTTGTAACAGTGAGCGGTTAATGAACTTCTCTCCATCGGGAACGTTCACGTGAACAAGCACACGACTCAGTCTAAGCTCGGGGCCAATATGTTTCAAAATGCGCTTAGGCAGTTTCATTTTCTGTCAATAAAATGGCGTTGAATTTGGACAGCATACTCCGAAGCACAAATCTGAGAGATGCACTATGTTTGATGATCGGATTAAAATGGCTTCCGACTTCGAATTTAGACAGTCGTACCTGTTCAGTCTGGCCATGGGCTCAGGACGAGACCGATACAAAATGTGGTTTGTGGACGGGATTTTCGATGTAATTGACGCTCTGTATTGAATATCGATATCGTAGTGTAATGTTACTTAAGTGGCAGTGCAATGAACGCAATCAATCTACAGAAATGTGATTAAATCTGATTTAGGTAATGATCCATTTAGTTCTAATCAAATAAGAAGACACTACGAAATCATTCCTCAAAATGAATGATTAATCTGGCATCTTTTAAGTTGTGCACGCTACTTATAGAATGCTAACACTGAACAGTACCGTCTTAATTTGATATTTACGTGTTTTGCAACAGGCAACAAGGGAACTTGTATAAAATCGATACTTTGCTTGTTCATTAATTCAAAGTTTGATTGACTTTATACGGCAAAGAAAAGTAATCATGCCTCTTCTTCATCAATGAAAGATAAATAGAGAAGTATCAATTCCATATTTCTCCGTTAAGGTAGTTGAGTATTTCGGATACCTTAAGGCGTTTTCTATTGCTATCAGTTATACGAACATACACGTACGTGTAGTAACTGTAGATAATATGCATAGTGAAAGATGGAGGGACACTGAGCACTGATTTAAAACTCAACATTATGTTTCCTTAGATGCGACGGATGGGACCGCCGCAACCAGAAGCACAATACAAGCAGAGGCTAATTGCACACGAAGCGCGCAGCTTTCCTCTAAGAAAAGAAAGCAAAACATATTTTTAATTAGGAAACTAGGATTTAGTTGAATTTTTATCACTCCTTTCCCTCCTGAATAAGTGCACATGTACAATGCACATCCTGAAAACTCCTTTAAATATATTGTCCACAAACAAACGCATTATCGCATACAACATAGCCTGGTTCTTTGCGTTGGCGGATGTGATGATTGGCTAGAAATACTGTGCATGCACACGTAGGCCTACATGTGGTACATGTATGAATGCAGTTATGTAGTAGTACTTAAGTAGTAGCATACCAGGCCCGTAGCCAGGGGGGGTTCGGGGGGTTCGAAAGAACCGCCCCTTTTGCTGGGAAAAGGTCCACTCTTGGTAAACTTTGATCTAGGTACATGAAGTTTTATTTTTATGGAAAAAGGTCCTCTTTTTCAGAAAAAGAACCCCCCTTTTGCAATTGCTGGCTACGCGCCTGATACTAAGTAGTACTTAAGTACTACCGGCAGGACCCTCACTTATTTTTGCAGTAGCTGCATGGTGCTGTACATGTACTTTTCGACAGTGTGGTGAAATCTACCAGTACGGTAAAATCCAATGCATATTTATATATTTCAAATGCACAGATCAAAATGACTGCTTTGACATCTTTTCATTGTGCATCTTCTCACATTTGACGGTGTTATTGTACATATCAGGAATAAAATTTGAATCATAAAAAAAAACTAGCGTACCTCGTGTCACGCAGGAGCTCAGGCAAGGCTTTTCTTGTCATTATTCCGGCATAATGTTTGTCAGAGAGTTTTAATCCCTTCAACATATGGAAAGAAGAGGTCGGGAGAACCCTTCAATTCGGTCCACAGCACTCACTATTGCCACGACTGGTGTTGATCACACTTACTGTACTTGGTTGGGAAAAGTTCCTAGGATAGGCCCTACATTAGTACATGTGTAGGCCTATGTCGGCAGCCTCCCCCCCCCCCCCCCCCCCTTACATCGAGCGGTACATTTTTCTGTATCGCAGGGTCGGATCCAGAGCTATTTCCTGACAGGCTTCTTGTTTATTTTTGTTGATCCATCCTCCAAATTTGACCGTCTTCCAACAGAAAAATTAGATACCTGTTAATGTAAACTTGAAAATCTGCATGACTGTCTTCTGGAAGACCCACAAGACGGCCTAAATCGGCCCCTGTATCGCACCAGCCTGACCAGTGTCAACGTATTATTATTACGCAGGCTACAGTGTACCTCTTAAGCTCGATCTCTGATGCAAAAAACTGTACCGCTAGACGTGAAAAGGGACTTAATAACCCCTGTATCTTTCGCGCATGGCGTAACACATTTATGTATCATTACGTGATAGATAGACTATAGTCCACCTAATAACGGCTAGAAAATTATATCAAAAGCATTGCTAAAAATAAGTCGTGTGCAGCTTTCTGCTGAAATTGAGACTGGAAAATGCTTAAGTCTCTGGCTTGACATGACACCTGACACCATATTTGGCCTGAAATGACATATCGCCGCCATTTTTAAATCTGACATGAGTTGTATTTAGTTATCAATCAATGCCCTCTCCTTGATGGCTGACGGAAATCTAGTGGATGATAACTAGTCTTTAAATTTGCTCTTGCTGCTCATATGTAAGGTATTAAGACACCCTCAAGGAGTTATTCCTAGAAAAAATGCCGATTCTTGAGAATGTGAATCCAGAAATTCACCAGAAAGCGAGTGCGCGCGAGATAACTCATGCCGAAGAAGACGACGATGTTGTGGACGAGATAGACGGCAGAGAAATATTTGATATCCTTTCATTTTAAGTGTTCTACGTTTAGGGTAGGTGTTGAGGATAGCTTAAATACTCCTTCAGCTTTCCGACAATCTTGCAAACTCTTCACCCACGGCATGTTACACTGCTTTCTAGATCGAAAGAGAAATCTTGGTTTACCACAGAACAGCATATTTATAACACTTTTTATTATGTCCCTTTTCACACAGAATATCATAGTTTGGCCATGGAGTACTAATAACTGACATCAGAAACCCTTTCGATAATTATCTTATAAACCAAATTCTTACCTAAAATATTGCTACGTGGCATGTTTGATCAAAGTGAGCTTTTCATACACTACATGTATGTTAAAAACTTCACAGTGGTAGTACATACATATACATATACATGTACATATACAGTACTGCTACTACAGCTAGTAGCAAGAAGTTGTATGAGACACTTTGCATGAAGTATGTGTATTTGTTTTGTCCATATACACTACATATACATGTACTGTATTGAAAAGCCTACAAATGTATCGTACTAGTCTATGTCAATAAGATCAGAATGAATTATTATTATTTTTATATTTAAATGTTTCTTTAACTGTCACCACATCTTATCCGTAACATCAATGATCCGGAGCACCCACTGTCCCTGGAGGAGTTAAATGTGGTAGAGAATTCTCGTGTACATGTGAGTATATGACTTTGATTATTTTAATCTCACACTAAAATTAATTTTATTTTTCCATGACATAAATCTCTCACTAATTAAAAAGGTGAAATATGAATTTTGTTTTATTTCCCTGATGTTAATCTCTCACTAAAGTTGCATAAATTTTTTCATATCTCCCAGATAAGTGGATGATTTGTAGCCAGTTATTGGCATAAAAGAGCATGTGTGAGTACAGTATGTGTGTTTGGAGGGGGAGGGGCGGTACTTGGAGCCCTCCCGTCTCATTTGCCTGTGAAGAGAAGAAAGTCGATGTCAGTAAATTATTTTTTCTTTGCAGGTGGACAATGCACAAAACCGTGTGATGGTGGACTTCACTCCCACCATACCTCACTGTAGTATGGCCACGCTGATAGGACTGTCCATAAGAGTGAAGTTACTCAGGTCTTTACCCAACAGGTTTAAGGTAAAAAAAAATAATGGATGGAAAAATAAGTGAAAGGGACCATTCTGTTGTTTACAGGTGGCCTGCGTTCATATTCCTGTGTGTGTGTGTGTGTGTGTGTGTTTGTGTGTGTGTACATGTATATGTATGTGTCTTTTAGCAGAGTTGAAATGTGGGAAATGCCAGAAAATATAGTTACTGTATTTTTTCTGCTTCAGCAAATATAGCTGAGGTTATTTTGAGTTTAGAGTGTTTAAAACGGAGTGATTGTCAGTAAGCTTCATAAAATTATCAGGTTATGTTTTGCTTGCTTGAAATTGTAGATCCTTTAACTACCATACAAAAACAATACAACATGTTAAGTCAGTGAAGACATATGCCTTACTATAAAGGCTAGATATAGAAAGAGTTTAAAAATAAGGAATAGAAAAAAAGCTAATAAATGTGTGATTTTCATAAGGGGATAATCAGTTGGTCAATATTAAATATATATATTTTAGGTAGATGTTAGAATCACCCCAGGGACCCATGCCTCAGAGGAAGCAGGTGTGTTGTCTTTCAAATAGAAAATAAAAGAATGAAGAATTATATTGACTGTAAAAATCATGTACTAGTATACCAGTAGAGGGGAAAGATTATTGCAAACCCTTCTCATGTTAGATAATTTTTGGTACCTCAAATCCTCTACCACTGCCCAAGTACAAAAGTCATACAGATCTGGCTCAGTGTCAAGTTAATATGCTTCAGTGATGTCACCATTACTACACAGCAAAAAAAAAAAAAGAGTAACTAACATTTAATTTAAACTGATGTTAATATTTTTATTGAGATTGATTAAATAAATCCTAAGGCATTAAAACTCACTTAACTGAGGATACAAATTTAAAAGCACTAACTTTCACTACATATACTCTTGTAACTTATCCAGAGTTTACATGGTTTAACATTGATTATTATGATGGTTTATATGTATTATGGCATAATAATATGAACTTTTTCCAGTGAACAAGCAGCTGGCAGACAAAGAACGTGTTGCAGCAGCCTTAGAAAACAGCCACCTGTTAGAAGTTGTCAACCAGTGCCTGTCATCAAACAAGACATCATCAGAGTGAGGAGGTGTCATGGGTGACTCTGTGACAACATGGTTGCCATAGGTGACAAGATGATAACAGTGATATACTTGGGCAGCATTAAGTGACATTGGTGACAGTGTGACATATTTGCGTGGGCGAAAGTTGTAAATATTGAAAATTCTGAAAGCGTAGTTTGCAATTTCTGATTGCATTTAGACCATTTGAAAAAGAATGATCAAAATGAAGACTGAAAATCCTGCAACCGGGCATAATCCTGAAAACTTTCACTCAAGTATTTGACATATTGACAGTATAAAGTAATATTGGTGAAAAAATAGACCGGTGACAAAATGGCAAATTAGAGCGCCATTGTTGACAAGATGACATCTTTGATACAATGGAAGATGGTTGACACTGTGACACTTGTGACACTGTGGCTAATTGGCCTGACTATGGTGACAAACTTGTTGCTGAATATCTGAGTTCAATAAGCATGCACATGCAGAAGTTTAAAAATGAAGTAGCTGGTACTCAGCTCTGCTTAGATTTGAGAGATAACCTAAATTTTGGACAGTGAATCTTCTTAGGTCGTTGATTTGGTTGCTGTGAAAATTTTATTTTTCACTTGACAGAACAATGTGCGACTTTCAGTAAAACTCAAAAAACTATATCCGGTGAAAGAATCAGCTCTGATGTGATATTTAATCAAATTTTCAGAAGTACAGCAAGCAGGTTCTAATGGTTTCTTTGTGGATTTTAGCATACATCATTTTAATGCATCGCGTTTTAGTTTGCATAGATCATGCATTCTTGTTAAGAGAGTTCACAAAAGTGAAAATGTTTCGTTTAGCGCATATGAACAATAAATTATTACTTTAAACGGCTGTTAATGTGGTTTCTTAAAATGAAAAAGTGTCTTGGAGAGTTATGCGGCACTGCTTACCTCCATACGCCATCTGCTAGCTGACAATCCTAACAAACGGTGAAGTCCGTGTAAGGGTTAGTGATCAAAGTGTTCGATAAAACTAAAAAGTCCTGTAGAAGTGGAAAAAAAATGAAAGTGTTTATTACGTATTTTGGTAAAAGTGACAAAACTGACCATCGAGCAGAATGTGAAATGATTTTGGCAATAAGAAGTTGAAAAAAAGTATTTCCCCCCCTATAAAAAGAAAAATGAACCAAATGTCACTGTGCACGTCAATTTAAGTATGGAGTTGATAGTAAGTAGCGCAAACCCGTAATTTCCAATCGGCATTCTACAAACAAAAACGTTGCATTGTCTGTATAGTGATTTATTTTGTGGCGAAACTGAATGATACATACAGGTTGTGTGTGTTTTTTTTACTAAGAAAAAATTAAGTTTTGTTATTTTAATTTTCAAGCGTCTTGTTTGAAAACCACTTTTGGAAATGCATCAAATGTCTAGCTGGGCAGTTAGAATAATGGTTCTAGTTTCCACTATTCTATCATTCGGTAGTAGTGGGTGCCGCCTAGCACTTTCCCTTGTGCTTTTTACGGTAAATGTTCTTGGCGAAGCATTCCACGGCCACCTTGTCACAGTTACAGATACTCTGTTCACACGCGTCATTTTGACTGGAATCTGGAAATGCCGTAAAAAATGAATGAATAAATAAAAACTTATTTTGTCTTGTGAAAGTATATCTGATCCGTTTAAGTCATTATGGCACGCATGCATCTGCGAATACTTTGGTGTGGGTGATTATGTATCAGGGAGTATATGTCAACTCCAGAACAGTTATGCTTCCACGCAACAATATATATATATCCGCTCACATAATTAAATAGTTAATTACATTCTCCATCCCGTTGCTCATTCCACTTGTACCACAAATTTAGTGCAAAAAGAAAAAAGATTAACGGAGATTTCTGTATTATACCCACGTCACACTAGAGGCAGAATAAGCAAGAATGCCGTCGGAAAGACAATTCTTTGTGCATTCCTGGATATTCAAAGAGCATTCTGAAAATTCCGAGTGCATTTCAAATATTTTTACCCATTCTTGTGGTCGGCCCGAATGTTAAAAACTTTCGAAGTGCATTCCAAGTAGAAAATTATTGAATGGCATTTGAATAGTATTCTAACTACACTAAAAAGACTGCATTTTAAATATTCTCACGGCATTCTGGCAACGTTCGAAACATTCTGCCAGCAATCGAACTACACTAGTACGCCATTCAAAGTATATTCTAAATATTCTTACTGCCTTCTTACAGCATTATAGTCTATTTATAGATATTCCTTGTTTTCCAACTACATTCGAACTGCATTTGAGAGCTAATACAGCCGAAAGTGCACTTATCATTCCAGGCGAATTCAAGCGCATTCTGAGTATTCCAACGGTACTCTTACAAGAATTAAAGTCAATTTGAACTTTTTTCCCGAATGTGGTGCTTCATTCAGCCTCATTCTTTTTGGTTCCTGCTGATTCCGAATAAGTGTGACGGGGGTATAATAGATAGTGCCTACTCACCGCACGTGATTGTTTTGTCTTTACTGGTAAAATGGTAGAAATCGAGATATGTATTACAACCGGAGGCTGTCGCCGCTGTGTAGCAGCTATCGTGTGCCTGGCAGCATCTTAATAAACGAAATAAATAAATAATTTTTCATCTTACACGTTTTAATTCTCTTAAGCGCCAGCATTGCCTAATACATGTACAAGAGGACATGACGGGGCACTCTAAAATGTCCCAAAAGACTAGACTATGTTTATTTTTCATTTGTTTGAAATCTTTTAAAGTGGTTTGAACATTTTCGTCAGAAATGATTTAATAAAAGAAACAGACTGAAATTAATCAACATGCAAACTTATAAAACAATATATAAATGTGTATTTGATTTGATTGAAATACAATGACAAATGGGTGCTTGAATGAATCGTGCTTTGAACTAACACGCACGAACGCACGCATGCACAGGCACACAGAGAGAGAGAGAGAGAGAGAGAGAGAGACAGAGAAAGAGAGAGAGAGAGACCAACCTGTCAACGCCATCTATGGGCGTGCCCTGCCCGCCAACACCGCAAAAGCAGCCATAGTTGTTGTAGTCGAAGGGAGAGCGGCCGGTAGCTATGCTAATCATGGCACCGAACTGCGCAATGTTGCGCTTGTGGGGTTTAGCTTCAATCAGTGCCGCTGACAGCACGACTGAAAAATTTAAAAACTATTGGTTTCAATTTCGACAAAATGTTAGATAGATAGATTAAAGATATACAGTAAACAGTATGTGTATTTGTGTGGTTTCATATCCTAACTTTAACGCTGAAAGGTAATTGCGCTCTAACATTGACGTTACCGATATAAGTATATGGTAAAACAGCCAAAAATGTAGAAAACACTTCATGAGTTTCAGATCAGATTTGTGGCAGGTTCATCATTTTCAAATCTCCTTATACATGTATGCACATTAAATGGGAAAAACTTATTGATATGGATGACTAGAATTTAAGTAGGTGCCACTTACGTGTCAGATGTAAAGCTCAGGGGGTCACGTTCATTTCCATTACTAAGATAAATCCCATTCTCATTGTTGTCAACAAGGTTTTCAGTCAAAAAGTGAGGTTCTTGTTAATGACATTGGTTGTAATCAAAGATAAGTGTTTTCCACATTCGTGCATATAAAGTAATGGTATTGACTGCACTAAAGGTAAAGAGCCACAAACACAGTGACCTACCTAAAGCAACCAAGTTGAAAGTGAACTTCATTTTGGCCAGTTGTGTTGTTCCAAAGGCGGGTACCCGTTTCTAAGGAACCGCACCGAAAAAATATGTAGTTGATTTAATGAAGTTATTGCCGATTACCAATTTGATCATATAGAAAACACACGGACTGATTTCAGCTAAAATGTTGAGTTATTTATTTGATATTCCAAATAAAGGTACTGACTACTGGTACATGTACATAACAGCAATTATATCGCAATTCGCCCACAGTCTGTTCGGCAACTTCTCTTACCTTAGCTAGGACAAGTCTTTTCCGTCAAAAGTCCGAATTTTGATCTGTATCATAATTTATAGACATAGCGTCCTAATCTGACCAGCTGTGAAGATAAGATTCTCCTGTTTCGACCGCAAAGACAGATGGGCGCTGGGACGTGACAGGTGGTAGGTCATGTCGTACAGAGGTGGAGGTCATGTTCGCGTGACCCCCCTCCCCCCCCTCCCCCTGCGAATCGGGACGGCAACGTGTAGTGAGGAAAAATCATTCGTTTTTTGAACCATCCAAGTTTTCATTTACCTACTGGATCATCTGTTCAGATGCATTGATATCTTCATCAGTCACTAATTTATTAAATCATTAAGGCCTGTTTATCTAGCTGTTTATTTTATCTGTATATTTTCTGTCAGTTTATAATTCGAAAGTTAGTTATACTGATGGTCTATATCATTCAATTATGAATCGTATATCCATTCATCTGTTTGCATATAATTTATGTATGTATCTTATTCTTCTATATGAAAACTGTACGGATAGACCCTTTTCTAGCATGCCTTGGACGAATAAAACGATAGCCCTATCCAATTACTTGCTTATACCAACATAATTTACCAACTTTTTTCTAATCCGACTCTATTATTAATCACACAGTAGTGATTTCTCTTGCTGCATGAATGTATGACAAAATACTTTTAACTGATATCTCGGACAGCAGTAAGCACGAAGTCGAAGTCTGTGAGAAGTACTTAACCTAGTTCCCAATCCTGCGTAGGATGGCCTCCTTTGGGGTGCTGCCAATAAGGCCGTATTCACAACCAAAGTTGATCCCCGGACTAACAGATCCGCGACCCACTTGAAACTTGCTTGTTGCGTAATCCTCGAGAGGAATCTATTCAGTGTCTATTAGGGAATTATGCGGCAAGCTTTCAAGTTTGTGGGCGATATTTGATCAGCGAACCGATATCACTAATGACCTTTGGACCGAAAGTTTGTATTCACTTTAAGGCTACTGTAGTCCAATTCGATGAAACATATCAAAAAAGATAAAATGACAATGTTTAAGACCACTAATTATCTTTTTTTCGGCGGCCACAACGGATTTAACCTGGTAAGAAGTGACTAAGTTTTTAGTCTCAATGTTAAGAACAATTTTCTGTCTAAAGTTTTCTTTTGAAACTGGGCCCTGTCTTTTCAATATGACCTAATTGTTACAGTTCTCTCGTGACTGGGAACAGTTGATGAACTGAACTAAATTCTGTATACAGAAAGTACACATAGGGGTCCTACCAGTATATCATATAGTACACGTAGGTACTTTGAATGTGCTCGAGCGGTCGCGAAATCGTTATTCTACAAGTATATCGGGTGTCTTAAAAAATTACTCATTCCAAAGTACAATTACTTCAACAGTTTTGAAGATACTGCAATGAATTTAGGATATTTTAGGAAAGAGATGATTTTAATAAATGCTGAAATTTGCATGACTGTACCTTTTTTAGTTTTGGCACAACGAAAAATTGAATTCTTAAGTATAAGCGCTGTGCTGGCCTAAAAACAAAGCGAGGTTGTCTGAATGGAGTTTTACAACATAAACAGTGGAAGTCCTTCGTCATCTAAACATTTCTGTCATAACTTACTTCCAACGTTGGATTTGGTAGTAGGAAAAGGTAAACCTTCAAATTTATTCTGAGAAAAGAGCAGGTGGTCGATATATTTGTGCTCTATCAAACCGAAACCGTCATTTTCCTTAATAAAACTATTTACAATGTAGAAATAAAAACAGAAAATGAAGAAATATATCTGTATACTCATACTTATTTTCCCGTTTTAAAGCGACAATGACTCATTTGCTAGATTTTTAATCTTGACTGCTTTCTTCGATTAGAATGAAATAACGTGTTTTTTTTTTTTACAAAATTAGAAATAAAAGCACTACATGTATAAGAGGGCAACACACTTTATGAGATAAGAGAACTACATGTACCTTCGAACTTTTGAATTTATGACAATAGTTAAGACTTAAGTGCTATTTTATTCAAGTTTTAAGCAATGATTAAATAATTTTGAAAATGGAATTAGGCGTCACTGTCCTCGAATAATCAAAAGCGGAACTTTTTTCTTGAAAGAACATTACAATTAAAATTCAAAAATACAGATTTAATGCTTTCTGTCGGCTCCAGTGAAGACATGTTGTCCTCTAAATTACTAGAAAGCTCCTTTTAAATTATAAAATTATGGTGTTTTGTCGGCCTAGCACTTGCTTTTGTCATAATCTTTGAAGTTTGAATGGTATGTGTTTCTGGCAAAGCACTGGACCGCCGCTTTGTCACAGTTGCAGACCGTTTGGTTGCAAATATCATTCTTGCTTGAATCTAAAATAAAAGCCATCAGTTAATATAATGAAGTATGGTGCGGTACAGTACAGTGCAACATATACATTTGATTGGCATTGAAAACTGACCACAAACAAATGTACTAGTTTGCAGAAAAACACTTACAAACAATAAAACATTAAGGATGCAACATACATTATTAAAACACAGACGCTACGAGATACAAATAGACAATTACCACAAGTAATAGACAGTCCATTCTGCGTGTATGTATAAATATGCCAAATATAAGTGCTGCAGCCGGCTCTTATTGCACGATCATAACAGTAATCATGTGTCTGGCAGCACCTGTGTGAAAATGAAAAATACCTCTTCGGACTTAAAAACCAAAAATGGACATTTTATTCAAGTAAATACCATTTTCTTTCCAATGGTCAAATTGATAGCTCAGAGTTTATTCAGAAGAAAACGAAACACAACAAAGAACATTGAGTGTATCAAATAACTTGATATATAAAATTATTCACATCTATTACATCAATTCTAGATCGAATATTACTTAAAATTATCGTATATAACGAGTGCACACAAACATTAACGTCGATGCACCCCGTTGTTATAAAAAGTTTTTAAAAAATTGAATGAATTATAATCTGAAATATCCACCTGTCCAATCCGTCGACGCTGTCCCTGTCCTCCTTTGCCACACCAGCATCCGTAGTTGTTGTAATCCAGTGAAGGACGCATGTTTGCATTATTAATCATATTTCTGAATTGCACCAGGTTTCGTTTCTGAGGGTTAGCTGTGGCAAAGCTGGCCAACAGGAAAACTTGAATACGAAATAGCCCAACTAAGTATCTAATAATATTGATGTTATTTGGTGACAAATAATAGGTATCAGGGTCTACATATAAATAAATAAATAAATAAATAAATAAATTGTATGATATGTGTGGATATGAAACGGTGTATTTTAAAACTTGCACTTTCGCTACCCAGCAAACACATAACGTTATTATAACGTTACCATAGTTTATATTATATAAAAACGATATGGTAACGTTATAGTAACGTTATAAAACATTCTGCCTTTGCCGGGTAATCTCTGCCTTACGACATTTGTTTGATAATTGGCAATCAAATCTTAATCTAAAGATACAAACAAAATAACAGCTATGGCATTGGGTTGGTGAACTTACTTGCAACGACGTGTAACATTCTCATCTTGGGTGTCTGCAAGACCGGTGAACTCGCTGCTGGAATTTTGAAGATGTTTCATGGTAGAATATGAACTAAGGTCTAGCAGAAATTTAATTTATTGTAAAAGGCACCAGTAGTAATATGGGAACATGTATCCGGATCCACATCTCATACAAAACCTTTATATTAAAAAATAAAGCAATGATATTACATTTGAGAGATGACTAAATGAACAGATGAAATATAATAAATCAATATAAGTAACTTTTTCAGATTTCAAATATAATAAGCAAAAAGAAAAAGAAAAAGAAGAGTGTTTTATGAAGAGCATTTTATAAAGATGTCTGCTTCTTACAATAATCACTAATTATATCATAAACTAATAAGAGTTTTAAATATATGAAATTCTAAATTTAACCGTATAAATTAACTTACCAGTAAAGATAACTTTAACTTAAAGATAAAACCTAAAATACATATATCCTAATATCTTATCTTAGAACACATTACAAAAATCATATAAAATACAAATTTTATACTAATCACATTTGTGTCGCAGACCTCGCAGTATCAAGCTCAAAACGTATCTACTTATGCCCGTCACCTAGGAAAGAGAGGCGTCGACACTTGTGGAAACTCGAAATTTATGTTTTCAATAACAGGACTGGTGTGAAAATAGCACATGTGTTATAATCTTCTTTTTCCTGTTTTGAAATCGTGATTGACCGTTTTGAAGTGTAAATAGATATGTTCTAGCAAAATGACCCTTTATCTCCTGTCTCTCTGTACATGTTATACCACGCTTTGTCAAAGTTCAAGGCAAGATTAGGGGGTAGATCGTAAACATAAAAACAATATTTTCATGTATTTTCATGTACTTTGAAGTATCAGGTGATCTTCAAAGGTATAACGCTTGCAGATTTACGAAATACATGTACTACAACGCGAAATATAGCAGTTGCTGTCAAAAAAGTCCAAGTGGATGCCACGTGACATGTAATATGTAAAGATTTTAAGAAAGGGAAGAGCGTTAGATTATCATTTATTTTTCAGAAGGCTTTCGGGGGCTTTCTGCTTTCCTGAGTGACGGTAGATCTCTGTAAGGAAAGTCAGATTATTTAGAGACGTTATAGCATACCCCTTACTTTTTTAAGATCCCGTAAAAATTAGGTTGTGCGTGTGACAGTCTGTAATAATAATAATAATAATAATAATAAAAGATTTTTATTGGGTACTGTAATATAACATATTTTACTATTGTTTTATGACTCGAGCCAACAACAGAAATAGAATAGTCAGTTATTAGATTTATGACAGTGATTGGTCCAGATCAACCTGAACAAAATCCGTCCCTGTTGATGGCCTTGTGACTGTCGTTGTAGGTGTTACTGGCAAAACACAGCGCCGCGACCCTGTCACACTCACACGTCATGTAGTCACAGTTGTCATTGGTGTAGTAATCTGAAATATGGAACATGCGCGGTCACACATATTTTGACTATGGCTGAAGACGCGGATCAAGGGAAGGGAGAGGGTACAGCGAGAAGCGAGAATGTGTCTCCATTACCTTCGGAGGTGCCCTCTTCTCCCCCTTTAAAAAATTCCGCAGTATAACGTGCGAAAAGACACAAAAACTTTGTTATTCCTGTGCTCTACAAACCTATTTAAATCGTCTTTCGTATATATTCTTGGGATGTACAGGTATCTATTATTAAACTTTGAAAAGCATCCGTATAGGCTATATAGTCAAATTACGCCCAAAAGCAATGTACTGGAAGATATCCAGACAAATAGTCGGAACATTTTGCATTTAAAAATGATTCGAGTTCCATTAAACCCGTCTTCTCAATAAAAAATACTGGACCAGTAGCACATTGGTCCATCACAGAAATCAAAGAAAGTTTTTGCCGTGCAGGTGTATCTGGTTGTTGACGTTCATTGATGAATGAGCTTTTAGCTAATTTTTTTCTTAATTTCGCCTGATGTAAATGTTGAGATGATTTGCCAAAGGAGTCAATGTGATTTTTCAAAAAGGAGTAAACGGTCAGATTGTTTTTAATAGAATTTATATCACAAAGCAAAAATGATCACGTGCTGTACACGTGACACTCACCACACGTGATATCTGTCCCGTTAGTACGGTAGTCGTAGGTGCCCACTTTGGCGTTCCAGCATCCCTCGTGGCTAACCATTTCGTAGCAAAAGTCGTGTACTTTGCAGCATCTAATACAGATATTTCACAAGAGCATTTAAGAGTGGTTATATTCGTATACATGTATATATATGTATTAAACATATATGGTACTAGTATGTACATACCAATTAAGTGTCTCTTGTGTATAATATTGAAATAATGTTTGTACTATATGTATTTACAGACTGAAATCCATAATTTTTTTTCAGTAAACGTGTAAAGACAAGAACAAGAAAAGTAAATTGTTTCTATACAGCAGCTTTGTTTGTTCTGGACGTTTTCGTTGCGCATGATTTCTTTGATGGAAAGATCACGTGTCTTAGGCAAAGGCAGAAATGATTTTTACTTTTTTACCTATGTGCACTGTAAATTGGTAGATATTGTTTCACCTGTACTAAGAAAATGGATGTTTTAACAATACTTTTATTTAAAAATACTAATCTCTGGCGGATCCAGGATTTCATTATTGATACAACGCCCTTTCCCTAATGCATGTGTGTGTGCGTGTGTGTGTGTGCGTGTGTGTGTGACTCCTGAATCCACCTTCTATATATTAGCAAATGCCTGCAAGGTACTGTACTTGTCCAAATCGTCCACCGGTTTTCCCTTGCCTCCCAGGCCGCAATAACAGCCGTAGTCGTTGAAATCCAAGGCACTGCGCCCCGTGGCTTTGTTTACCATCAGAGCAAACTGGACAAGGTTACGGGGCCGCGGTTTTGTGTCCGCCAAAACAACCAAGGCAGCAACTAAAATGGATATATAAATATACATTTAATCATTTAAAATGTTTCTAATAAGACTGATGTGATCCAACTAAGAAACTAGTTTGTTCCCGTTCCGCAACGCTTCTTTTCTTCAAGATATTCGACAACAATTATTGAATTGAATGATAAGTTATTATACAGATTGAAAACAAAAATAAGTAACACATACGAACTTGCAAAAAGCCCTATCGTGATCTTCATGGTCGAGGAGGACTGCAACCTATCAATTCAACGAGAAGAAAAAATCAGAAATATATATATATATGAGCGTCCGCACACTACAAGGGGAAAGAAGTCTGTTCCTCTCATTCATCCAAAAATAACTATAAAAATAATGTTATTACATTTGTATAAGCCCAGACATGCATGTTAATTTAAACAATCAAATTAAAACCTATCCAACTCATATTGAGGCTGCGTTACGGAGTATGTCGAATATCAACTAAAGCAACATGCAAATACAGGTGCTCCGGTAATCCTTGTCAGTAAAATTATCACATACCCCATTTGTGTTCTATACTTAAAGTGATAATAACTCTTCGTGTGAGATCTATATTTCACAATAAAAATATTGTAAATAACTCACAGAAATATAATATATTCCGTTTTACCACAAAAATGGCAGTTATAGCTATTATTATGATATCTGAGCTTCTCATTAGACCACGTGACCTCCATAGATGGCTACACTCTGTATAAAAAAATTAAAAAAAAAAAAAAAAACAGCGACTAACTTTGAATGTAGAAATAAATTCATTAACCATTGGTAAGTATGGGTAAATTGTTGTTTACTCTAGAAAAATTCATTTTTTGGCCAAAATGAACAGTTACTGGTTCAGTACTCGGATTTCTCTTCCTCTCATCAAAACAGTGTACACGTATGCAGTATAGCCCTACTAGCCAGTGCGCTTTATCCTACGTGTATAACCAACTTGTTTTGCTTATACTGTAATTTATTGTTTTCATCATCAATTGTTAACATATCTATTATCATTATCACCTGTATATTTGGTGGTATATATATATATATATATATATATATATATATATATATATATATATATATCGCTCGTTTTGTGTGAAATTTTTCTTCACCTCACTTGAGGAACATACCTAATCGTAGTCGTATTTAGTTCACTTCTTCTCACTTCCGTGTCAAATAGCACATTTTGATTGGAAAGAGACAATTCTTCTTACCTGGCCTTCTGAACGTGTGATAATATGCTTTTATTTCGAAGAGTCAATCTCCTGCGTTGCTTTGTCGTCGGGACAGCTTGATGTCGGGACAAGAAGATAACCTGACTAGAAACGATGACATAATACACGTTTACATAGTCGCACTCAGGTAATCTCCTTCACAGATACTACACCATTCCAGCTGAAACAGAGAAATATAGAATTTTTGATTTGTCATCGTACTATTTAATTTTACATGTTATAACCGACGCACATGTGCACATAAATGGACTAGGAACCAATATTAAAAATGAAATCACTTACGTGATTTTTTCCCGATATGCAAGAACAACCACAAAGCACAATTTCTTATGCAACGTAATGTGTACTTCAAATATTGATATTTGCAGCTAAGATAACCTTTGACAAATAATGTTTTCTCGCAACTGCAATTCTTATCTGTTTCTTGCAATTACATGTACCGGCTATGGGTTTCAGTAGGCTATCTTGTTCTTTTTATGTAATGTCACGTTGGGAAAATGAATGACAGCAAATTATTTCGCCCTCTTACTTTTCTTAGTTTTTTTACTACTGTCCAAGATAGATTTCGAGGATATTTTTAAGAAGCTGTCATTCAATACAGGTATATCTAACGGAATCCTTGCCATAAGATATCCTATTGCTCGTGCCTGTCATTAATCTTATCGTTGTCGTCAGACTGTTAATCTGCAGATCATGGATATTCCTCTGAGCCAATATTGAAGTAACCTTTACATGTACATGTGTGTATACGTGCGTGCCAACGCGTGCATCCCTACGTCAAACATTTTAGCATATTTTATTCTAACTCGCGGTGAAAGCAAAATAAAAATTATCCATTCAATTCTTTTAAACGGACGGAAACAAAAAAAAGACAAACAGCATCTGGCGGTTCAATATAATTTTTTTTATTATATTTGAACTAGAATTACTAACAAATTTAAATGACATTGCAAATAAATTTGGGTCTTCTTTACCTAGGACTAAACGCTCGGCCTATGCTAATTGTATAAAAACAAAAGATTTGCAGAATTTGTGGGACCCTATACGCAGCATAACGTGTTGCTAATAATATCAGCACAATGACACTGATAGCTGGGCTGCAAGGATTTACTCGTAGGTATGGACTTTTTATTGAATAAAAATCTTTGGTGTCCGTAATCGACTAGAATGCGGATATAAAGTCTCGCCATAAAGTGCACTTACATTACGGTGTTTTATCATTAGGTTTATACAAGCTTCATTTTTTTTTTGAATAGCCAATCAATAAATAATGAGATTTTCATTCCATCGATTCTTCTTTGTGAAACCATTTGTTACCTTCAAAGTTAAATTTATCTGATGGATATACTAATTTGAATTGCATTGTTAGCCTACTTAAAAGAACGCACAGGCAAGATCAACGCTACTGAAGTACATACAGCATTTGAGGAGTAATATATTCAAATATGAATGAATGAATGTCAAAAATGTATATATAACCGAGTTTGGAACAAGCGTTTAAAGTCTTTAAACAGTTAAAGAATTCTAATAGTCAGAGAGAGAGAGAGAGAGAGAGAGAGAGAGGGGGGGGGACTTACGTTTATTACATTTTCTTAATTTCTTCTAAAGTAAGCTCCTTCCAGGAGTAAATACCACAAAATGAAGCTTCAGTACTTAAAAACACGCCTGTGCATTTCTTCAGCTATAAGGCTACATTCTTTGTATTTATTTCCTTGACGGAATGGACGAATAATGTAGTAGGAAAGAGAAATAATTGTCACAATTTGTCAGGTTTCGCAACTAACACATTTGAAAGATAATGCTCGTAATGTGCAATAGTCTGCTGAATCATTGTTGTGAGACAAAGGATATCTTTTAAAGAAAAAGTTTTCGCAGCTCTTTATTCCGTTTTATTTAACCAGCACATAATAACCTGTGCTTAATTGATCTAAAAGTATGCATTATTCTAAAGGGATACGCTCACTAATTTCTGTCTATATCTGCAACTTGTAAATCATTTCGATTTCAGTAACCTACACACACTGGACAATAGAAGTGTCACCCCCTGAATCACAGTAATCCAAGTTATAATGCCTGGTCTACTTATAATGTGACTAACGAGTATAAAACCGCTGTACCATGGAATTGTATTGTTGGTCTTTTTGTGAAATTTGATGTTAATAAAATGATACCAGGAGCATATCATTCCAAAGTCATTTATCTCCCCCAAAGTATTGGTTCAGTAGGGGTGACACTTCTATTGTCCAGTGTGTGTATATAATTATCAAAATAATTTGGGAGGGTGGGGGGAAGGGTACATTTTCTTGGTTCTGTAAGTTATCTGCTATTGTAAGTGCTCTGTGTGAACCGGCAATCTCACCGTGCAACCTAAAATAGTTCCTAAGGTGCCCTCTATCAAATGATAGTCAAGTGGTTCCCAGATTATTCCTATCTGGTTCAGGTTTTCATCGATGACTGCCATTGGTGTTTTGGCACCAATGTGGTAGCCACTCCAAATACTGACGCTGTCAATGACCCCAGTCACTTTAGACGCGGCACACGTTTCGTCGTAGGCCTCCTCTCGATGTCTGTAAACTCTGATTTGGCTCGTTGAGCGGTACAGGTGAAATCTGACTTCAATAAAGAAAGTCACGCGGTTTCAGTGTTCTACCCAGAAACGGTCATGGTCCCCAATTCATTAGAGGAAGAGACGACGATGTTTTACTGTCTACAGTGGGTTCCTTGTAGGTCGTCTGGTATTCTAACCTGCTAAAACCAGTTTGGGGTTCGCCAAGGGCCTTGAAAAACGCGTTTTGGTGCCAATCTACCCCTCATTCTGAACGGACTGGGTGGTTTTTGTTTATTTGCAGCAGCATATCCGGAAGGACAGTGATTCCTGTACCCAGGTGGTAAGATTTCGATACACTGGGCGTGGCCTTGGCGTTACTCTATAAAACTGTGCGGACCAGTCCGTTTGGCGCAATAACCTGGCCGGCAATGTCTGTCTTTTTCGCGCCATTCTGCCACAGATTAACAATTTTGTAAAACAATGCTTAGCTCATTTTACGCACTGCAAAACCGACTGCTTGCATGCAAATTTTCGAATTTTTCTTTGCAGTAGTTGCCGACATCTGGATACTTTTTTGACAGAACCACGCTTTGCCAAAGCCAAGCTTTGACCAGCCCAAAGGAGCACTACCCAATCAAATCACTGCATATTAAACAATGTAGCAGTGCAACAGACATGGTAGTCAGTTAATTGGTAATGTCACACCCGAATACACACTTGCCCATTCACATATCTTATATGAGATCGGAGATTTTTGAAAAAAGAACGCATTTTTACCTATAGGGATACCTTTGAAACTGACATATTCCATATTAAATGTCAAGTCTGTATAATTTTCTGTAATATTCCTTTGCTATTTTGGCGCTTTGACGCTTAAAAACACACACACACACAAAAAAAAAAGCAAGTTGAAAGAGTAATGATCACGGAATTTCAAACATGTTAGACATTAAAAACACAATAGTACATTTTGCTACGATAATTAATACGGGGGAAGGTGGGGAGGGGAGAGGTCAAGTCAAAGGTAGGATGTTAATTGAATAGTTACCTTAAGGGCTTGCGCGCTAACCACTACACAGACGAGCTGTAGTAACAAACTTTTTTTCTTATATATATGGCTCACCAGAAGGATTTCCATATTCATAAATAGTTGCATCATTTAACCGTACTATTGCATAAGGATAGGACTTTCAAATGGCCGGACTTACATTACTGTCATATGTGTAACAGGAATAAAAGTCCGCCAGTAAGTCCTACCTACTATAATCATTAGCCAGGAACCTAGGTCCCAGTAGGAATACTATTCCCAAGTAATGGTTGTCCTTACTGTTACACGTGTACACCGGCCAAATGCATGCAGTGTGTACATGAGCTGGGAAAAAAAGACTAAATTGCTGATGTTAATTTAGAGCTTTAGAGCTTATAATGGTTAGGCTTTAGAGCTTATAATAGTTAGGGCTAGCCAAAATGGTTTAAAATCTAGGGCAAGGCTTACCTGTATAAATGAATGGAAGGAAAGTGGACTCTCTGTCTTGGGGGATTCTCGTCTCGATACACCTGCGCAATTACTGACCGATTTAACAAGGGAAAAAAAGGTGACAATCGCCCGAACAGGGACTCGAACCCTGGACCCTCAGATAACTTACAGTAGTCATCCGTAAAAGTCTGATGCTCTACCGACTGAGCTATCCGGGCGCCGCCGACAATTTGTATCGGTTGAAAAAACCGCTCACGCTCGACTTGGGTCGCGTTCAAAACAGTTTGATTAAGATCCGCCTTAGTCCTCATTCACGGATACAGACGCTTTGTTGGCTGACCCTAACAATTAAACTACTAGATATAAATATACGAAACAGATTAATGGAGCTTTACATTGTGTGTATTTAAGTGAAATCATGAAATCAAGTCTTGCAATACGCGGATGAAAATTAATATCGCCGAATAAAGATTGCATATCAAACATGAGTAAAGTGCCCTATATAACTTTTGTCAATTTTTCAAAGTTTATTTCTACCTGAGTTGTGAGCTATTCCCGTTGAAAGCCACACGATGGCCACTGAAATATCGAAGTGCAAAAATGAACTAATTTAAATTATTGATTAAAACAGGATGTTACTATGGCAAAGTTGTCAAACAGTTGTTGAAATTCTTTGCTAGATTTGTTATCAATATTGCATGTCAATGATTGAAAGACTTAAAATGAAATTTAATAAATCACTTATATTTGTATGTAGTAAAGTATTTTATATGAAACCTCGAATACACTTCTAAAAAATAATAATCGAGGCGTATCATTCGAAAGCATAAAAAAGTCTATTTCGTATTGAAACGAAACATTGACCACATGTGCAGTCGGTAGTGCATGGATGCAAAAGAAGACAATATGAAGCGTCACAAACCATGGGACACCCAAACCCAATATAGAGGTGCATTTCACAAGTTCAAGTCTCAAAAAATGAAATTGAATGAATTCGATGTAGTATCCAATTTTTTAAAACTTACATGTGTATAGAACAAAAATCCACAAATGTCCCAATTTTACGCCCACGCGTTTCTGTTTTGTAAGCAAATAAATTGATAACCGTTTGAAGTAAAAA